CCCTCTCCTGCCCCTTTTGAATTCTGAGAGTGTGTTTTTCGGCTCTAGGCTTGGCTTCGGATGTATGCCTTGGGTCGACACACTTTCGCACTTTACAGCACCGTAGTGTAGGACGCCCTTGTACATTTCAGTCCTAGATGCACTTGTAAAGACGGTAGCTGACTTCATTGCGTTGTTGCGGTTGAAACTGTAGTTGCGCTCGAGGGTTCATGGACTGAGTTTGGGATAAGAGGCCCATTCTACAGAGAAGGCCCCGAGGAGCTGCTGGTTTCCGCGCAAATCGAGAAGTGTACCAAGTTTTCTTCAACATCCTTCTGGAAGGCTGGACTCTTGAGGACTTCAGTCTTCGGACTTTGGATTCAACAGGACCCTACAAAAAAGTAGGTTTTGGTAGGTTAAGGATATGTCCAGACACATGCACGCAAATCGCAGCGCTTGTGGCACTTGCTGTCTATCGCGGTGGGTGCTTGCTCACATGTGCTGAGGTTCTTTCCTTTTCCTTGCGCCATGAATCGGGACAGGTGCGGGGCCGAAGCACTGTCGGAACAGAGCTGCACATTCGAGGGACTGGCTGCCTGTTTGCAACGCTTGGCAGTGGCTGCCTAGGCTAGGGCGGGCCAGTAGCTGCTCCAAAGATGAAGACTTAACTTGCGCAAAAGCTTTCTTAAGAGGGGCTCGTTGATGCCAGAGCGCGTTTGAAAACCGTGCAACATGTCGCAGTGCCAACGCCCGAGGTCGCGGAGCCATCTCGCTTCCTCTACGAGATTGGAGCTTTGAGCTCCACAGCCGACCGGGAAGTAGGCCCCGTCGAGACCGCGATGGTCGCGGCAGGCCCTACCCTCTTTGCCCCTGTGGCTCTGCAAGCCCAAGCCCCCATTATGGACGGCCTTCCATTGCAGGCCCTGCAGGCTGCACCCCATGCCGCAGCAATTGAAAGCCGCCGAGAGCTAGACGAGGTCCTCGCGACCCCACAAGTGGCATTCGGCGGGCAAGATCTGGCCGTGAAGTCCATGAACGACATCGCTATGCATGAACCCGAACCCGAAGTTGATCAAGTTGAATTCGACACTCCAGGTGCCCAGTCATGTTTGCGTTATGGAAAATTTAGAGTCTTGAGATCATGGCCCAATGGTTTTCCTGACGGCTTTCGCCAGCAGAGAGTCCACCAGCGAAGCTTGAGATCCTGAGGCCTGAGGCATTGAACATGAACATTGAACATTTCTTGCTCTTAGTCTACGTGGGCTTCTCGCTCTCTTTTGCTTGGTTCCGGATGCCAGAGCTTTCTCTTGGTTCGGCTTTTGTTGGCACGGCACGGATCGGTCTGAGGGTTTGAACGTGAGCAATGCCCTGCCCTATGTGGCTGTTGCGAGAATCGTGCTGGGGCATCAGGGAGAGATTCGTGACCCACAGGTTCGAGGTAGAGCCTGCAAGG